TTGGTTTATAATTTGAGTGTATTGGGGAACATAATGGGGACCATGCTGGGTGTGTTTTTGGACACTTATTTTCGGCATTGTAAAATAAGAAGAAAGGGAAATTGTGGCTTGGTTTTCTTTGGATTCCTGGGAATGGATTGTGAAGTGCTGGGATTGGTTATTAATGTGGTGATGGGTTGAGGGAAAGTATGGTTAGGGTGCATGGTTTGATGATGATTTCATTCCAGAGGGGGTCATAACACTTGGACATTATTCCACTGATTTCCTTAAGGACTTGAGGGTGATTTATGGTGCTCTGGGATATATCACCATGCATCACCTCTATCTCAGTATTCTCCAGAATAGGCTCCACATTTATTCTCTGTCATACCTACGTGTAGAAAGATGAAAAAGTCTACACGCTCAGCAATGAAGCTGAGTGGTACCATGGCACAACAAAAGAATTCAAAGAATAATTTTCTTAAACAATACTCATCACATATATATGTTCAAATATTCGCTTTTTCATATTTAAATCCATCTTTATTATTTTAACAATGATAATGAATATAGTCAATCTTAAATATCATCATTCAAACTTAACGAGTCCATAATTCACAATAATCACATGTAACTTTTTTTATCACAATATTCATCATTTGTTATACATAATTTTCATATAAAATTTTCTCAGAATTTGCTCCTAACTTATTCTAAGTTAGTTAATGCTAAATCATATCAATGATCTTAAACTATTCTTAGTCTAAGTCAAATTAATATTGATAACATAACTCTTAAACTATAACTAGTCTAAGACAATATTTCTAACATCGCCCTTAAACTATAAATAGTTTAATGCAGAACACAAGAACCGATAATTCACCCTATGAGTCACGTGGATTACGTACCAACCGAACAGTGATCTGTCGGGTGGGTGATATCCGGTTTGGATCCCGTACGTACGTTTTAACCCTGAATCATGAATTGGTCAAGGAGGTATATCTTAGAGTTGCTCTAGATATCCTTAATAATAATCATCAATTTCCAAGTGGGTATATCTTAGAGTTCTTCTAGATATCCTTAACAATACATATCATTTTCATAATCATCAATATATTCATTTTTAATTAGGATTTAATCATTCATAATTATTATTTTAATAAGATTATTCATCAGAGTCTGATCATAAACAACATCAATAATAATCATCACAATATCCAATAACAAATAGCGGCCTAACATTGAGTGTTAACATCTAGCTTATCACCATACATCATATAAGGTTCTTTAGTTGTCCAAACATCATTTTTTTTAAAAGCAATTGTCTTTTTATTGATGTATCAAAGAATAGGATTTTATATCTTAAAAAATAGCATTTTCGGACTTAAAATGTTCACAACGATCATTTGCAGGAAAAACGGAATTACTATTCATCATCTTCAACCTTTGATCAAATTTCTCAAAACACCATAAAAGCTTCTAAGCTTTAAACTAACTTCATAAAAATGTTTTCCAACATCCATAGATCACTCACAAATAATTTATTTGAAGCTTTAACAACAAAACAATTTTGGTGATTATGAATATCAAAATATTTATATTTTCAAATATATATGAATCAATAAGTTCAAGGATCATTCCAATGCCTTAAAAGTTGTTTAAAATCATGGTATAGACCTGGAAATCGATGATATGAAGCTCAATGAACGAACGGGAGCGAAAACAACGTTGGAAATCAGAAAACTCGTCGCTTCCCGTCACCACTGTACCAGCCCTGGTTTTTGGGCCATATCTCCTTCGTTACTCAACGAAATCGCGAACCGTTTGAAGCTACGGATTCGTAAGACATAAGGCTACAACTTTTGTTTAGAAACCAGATTAAAATAACGACGTTTAGAGAGTGTAAAAATGCTCACAAGTGGGCTGATTTGCACAGGGAATGTTTTCTTCATTCAACTTTTCGGGGCAACTTCCGGCAAGAACCGTGGCTAACTTCGGCGACTATACCGGCGGCGATCACTTGCGGTCTATTCTCTATACTCTAATGAAACTATGGGAAGAAGAAATGAGAAGTTTGGTGGAGAATTGAAGAATGGAGCTCCCCATTTATAGGTGAAGAGAAGGATTGTATGAAGTTTGATGACTTCATTTCTTTGATCATTCCTTGATTGGGGGTGGTTTTCGTTCGACATAGTGGTGGTGGCGGCTGCTCTTTGTAAATTTCACACCTTTGTCCCTGATTGGGACTAAAATGGTTCGAATCGGGTATACTTTTTGGTCCAACTTTCTCTAAATTAAAATCTGATTATACCGTTACGGTCAGACAGTCAAGCTCTAAGCGACAATATAATTTTCACATTTTTTAGAATACTTTTTCTGACACCATATTTTTGGGTGTTGACTTTGACAAAGTCAAAATTGAATTAATTGACATACAGTTAAAAGTACTCTCATATTCAATCAATATTGTTCAATTTAAATAATTTATTTCAATATATCATTTTAGAAAAGTTCACATCTTTGATAACTACTCATTTTTATGCAAATTACATATTTAAAATGTCACTACTCAAAATCTGTAAATTAGATTTGTTCATAAAATATATCGTTGGTTTCCTCTCTTCGAGACCTATTCATAAAAGTCAATCTTAACAAAAAAACCATTGACTCCAAAAATTCTTTTATTTTTGGTCAAACATAGAAATAATGTTTTTTTGGGTCAAAATATTATTTTTAACCTACTTTTATTATAGAATAACTTTTAGACTCTAAAAGTTACCAACTCTAAAACTAATTGTAGTTCAAAGTACTTCTATCCAACTCTTAAGCTAGGTCATTAGTTTAAGGTACTTATATTCTAATTGAATTGCCAACTCTTAAACTAGCCTTCGCTTAAGGTACAAATCCAGAAAGCCAAACAGTAGAATACTAACTGTCGAGTTGGGTGCTATCCCCAAACGAGTTCCTCTAGTTTGGTTTATGGATATCGTATGTATGTTTTTACCCAAGGCCACCGAATATACATTTTTATACCTACAAGGCCCAATCTAATTTGAGGTCTATCTTAAAGGTCTTCGAGATAGCCTTAACAATACACCAGTTTCATGATCACCATTATATTCATTTTTAGTCATGATTTAATCATTAATAATCATCCTAATCAGTAGGTTTATCATTAATAATCATCCATAATAATTATCCATCATAATCATCATTTAACATAATGTTTAATAACAAATAGCGGCCTAGTCTCGAGTGTCAACACCCGAACTTACCGTCATGCATCACATAATGCTTTAATTTGTTAAAAACAACATTTTTATTGTGAAAATTCATTTTTATTGTTAGACAACGCGTGCAACTCTAGAGGGGGGGGGGTGAATAAAGTTTTTTGAGAATGTTTACCGATTTTCGCAGGGTTAATAATATAAACGTAAGTGCAGCGGAAATAAAATAGAGAAGGCAAAGAACACACCGATGTATACTGGTTCACCACCTCGTGGCTACTCCAGTTCCCCGAGAGACTCTCTCGAAGCTACCACTACTTTCGTTAAGCTTACGGGTGTTTAACAAACCGTTTACAACTCGAGAACTTGAATCCCACAAGCCTCGACACAACAGCTCGTAGATATGCCCTCTACAAGACTTCACAACCAAGACTTAAATCACATAAGCCTTGAACAACAAGAAGAACAATCTTTTTCAACCTCTCAAAAGAGTAGATAAGAGAAATGATTAAAGCTGTAATGGATGACAAAACACTCTCTTAAAAACAAATAGTTTTCTCCCAAAATAATATAAATCTTAGGAATGATTGATGGAGGATTAAATCCTCAAAAATGGGGAGTATTGGAGTGTTTCTTCTTATTAAAAAAAGACCAAAGAAGAGAGTTTATATAGAGGAAAAAGAAATAAATCCGTTGGGAGTATGGAAGGCTGATTTTGACAGATTGGAGCGTTGGGGATCGATCCAGGGCAAAAGATCGATCACCTGGAGTAAACTTCCGAAAAAGGATTTCTGTCAAAGCTTCGGGGGATCGATCCAAGGCAGGGGATCGATCCTCTAGAACCAAAAAAACAGGCTCACGGATTTGTAAGTCTACGGATGATCGATCCAAGCTGGTTGATCGATCCACCGATGGAATTCTGAAAAATAACGTGATCGATCTAAAGAAATAGATCGATCCCAATCCCTGAGCACAGTCCACGGTGATCGATCCTAACGCATGGATCGATCCACTGACGAACATTCCTCAAACATGAGGACCCAAGACATGTGTGCGAGTGGGATGTACAAATTGGAGTGAAATGTTTTGTTTTAGACAAGAAAAGATGTCAAGGAGGCTCCAATAAACAAACAAATCAAAAGGGTTGAAATGAATTAATTCAAATTCAAAATTTGAATTAAATAAAGAATTTTGGTGTAGAAATTGAGTCCCAAAAATATTTTGTGTGTCAAACGAAGTACACGAAAAATATTTGAATAAAATATTTTTGCTTACCAAAAATATTTTATATTATCAAAATAAATATTTGATAAATGTTTGGCACATCTTTTGTGACTGACTCAATAAAACTATTTTGAACAGTTAAAAAGATTTTTCAAGTGACTCCAGAAATAAATATAATTTTTATTTTAACTCTCATAAAAATAATTTTGGAGAGAAGATATTTTTGTCATCCTTACAATTATTCCTACGACTCAAATAAATAAAAAGTCTTCGGAAATCTTCTGCTCCTCCGAGACCTCCGTTAGGCGCTCCGAACGCGTCTCGGACTCCAATAAAATCCTGTGCACCTTCTTGAATACTTCAAGGAATGGCACTTCAAGTCTTCGTGTTTGTCGTTGTAGCACTTTGATCTTGACTTGAATAAATTGTGTTTGTCAATTATCAAAACCTGTGAGTCAACACTTAACAACACAGAAAGGGTTGAACTCATGCATTCCAAGATTTATAATAATCATAATCAATTTGTATAAAAAATAGGATTTTATAGCTCAAAATAGCAATTTCAGACAATTTTTCGGATGAGAGTTTTGGAGGATCGATCCAGGAGTCTAGATCGATCCAGTAAAAAATCCTCCAGAGGATCGATCCATTCAATATGATCGATCCAGACAGTGCTGGTTTTGGGTTAGTGTTCATCTTCTTCAACCTTCGGTCTATTTTTCAGATATACCATTTTTCATCTCTGAATTCAATTAAACTATATAGAAATGTTCTCCAAGGTTCATAGATCATTTTAGAATTATTAAAACATATTTTAAACATCAAATTCAAGGTTTATGATTCTTGGTTCTTCAAACATGTCAAATACAAAACTCAACCAAATGAACATTTATTAACGTAGAAACGACCTATATGAACATTCTAGTCATTAGATATATCTACGAGCTTACCTCGAAGCATAAGGGAGGTTTTGAAGATTTTCCGGCGAAACTTCCAGCGACTATATCTCACTCCCCCGCAACCTCACACAAAGACGACATCACCACTCTACTCTACTCTCAGCAAGGAACAATATAGAAGGAAGAATGAGTTGTTTTTGTGAGGAAATGAGGAAGTTGAGTTGTCCCTAAATAGGCTAGGGAAGATGAAGAAGACACAGGCTTGGGTTGCTTCCGTGATTGTGTGGTGATTTGCATTTTGGAATCGGCGTAATTGAACAGGGCGCCGTTTGGTGTGTAGTCTCTGATTGGGGCTAATTTTGGTCCAAGTTGCGGTACACTTTTTGGTCCAATTTTCTCCAAATTGAAATCCAATTGAACCGTTGTGGTTAGATAGTCAAACTCTACATAATGATATAATTTTCATTATTTACTGACAAACTTTATAAATCACAGATTTTTGGGTCCTTCTCAGTCATTAATTAATTATTAATTAACTAATTCTGATAGGCCTATTTTCGTGGCTTTACAATTCTCTCCCCCTTAAAATAATTTTGTCCTCGAAATTACCTGAGTCATTGATTGAAGAGATTTGGATATTGCATTCTCATTGACTCTTACGTTTCCCATGTTGCCTCTTCAGTCGAGTGATTCCTCCATAGTACTTTGACTAGTGGTACGGATTTGTTTCTCAATTGTTTGACCTCTCGTGCTAGAGTTTGTACAGGTTCCTCTTCCTAAGTCAATTGTTCATCAGGAGTTACAATTCCCTTAGTCAAGATATGCAATGGATCGGAACGGTATCTTTTCAACATCGATACATGGAATACAACATGGATCTTGTTCTGTTTTGGTTGAAGTTCTAACCGATAGGCTACTCGACCCACACGTTCAGTGATTCGATAGGGTCCTATATATCTCGGGCTTAGTTTTCTCTTTCTACCGAACTGTAACACTTTCTTCCACGGTGAGACTTTCAAAAACACCTTGTCATCAACATTGTATTCAATTTCTCGACGTTTTAAATCAGCATAAGATTTTTGTCGATCGGAAGCCACTTGTAGTCTTTCTCTGATTAGACGAACCTTTTCTTCAGTTTCGCAAACGAGATCAGGTCCCTCAAGCTTTTGCTTGCTTAATTCTGTCTAGCATACTGGGGTTTTACAACGTCTCCCATACAAGGCTTTGTTTGGGGCCATTTGGATACTCAGTTGATAACTGTTGTTATAAGCAAACTCCATTAGCGGTAAGTATTGTTCCTAGTTGCTTCCAAAATCAATTACACATGCTCTCGTCATATCTTCAAGAATTTGAATTGTCCTTTTAGATTGTCCGTTAGTTTGAGGATGAAATGTAGTACTAAAGTTGAGTTTAGTACCTAAGGCTTTCTACGTGAATTGCGGGTCACGATAAAAAATGATAGAAAAAGGTAAACCATGTAATCATACGATCTCACGGATGTACAATTCTGCCAATTTTTTCAAAGACATATCACGTCGAATTAGGATAAAATGAGATGACTTGGTTAATCGGTCAACGATTACCTAGACAACGTCATTCTTCTTGGCTGATAAGGGAAGTCTGATCACGAAGTCCCTCGTAATCCGTTCCCACTTCCATTCAGGGATGGTAGGTGGGTGTAACAATCCACTGGGCACTTGGTGCTCAGCCTTAACTTGTTGACACATCAGGCATCGAGTTGTAAATTCAAAAATTTCTCGTTTTATTGTGGGCCACCAATATGTCTTCTTTAGATCTTGGAACATTTTATTACTTCTAGGATGCATGGTATAAGTGGTTTCGTGAGATTCACGCATTAAACGTTCCCTCACTTTTCCACTAGGAACTACCAAACAATTCCTGTAGAATAAAATTCCATCATTCACAGTGAAATCTTGTCTCTCCCCCTTAGAGACAAGTTCACAAGTCTTCAAACAGTAGTCGTCACGTTTTTGTGCAGCGTGAATTCCATTCTCAAGAGTAGGGTACAGTGGATTCGGAGTTCGGCTATCATCTTTCGGCTTAGTGCGTTAGCAACTACATTAGCCTTACCAGGGTGATAGTCGATGTAACAATCGTAGTCTTTGATCAATTCCAACCATCTTCTCTATCTCAGGTTTAATTCTTTTTGAGTTAGCAGGTATTTCAGGCTTTTGTGGTGTGTGTGAATATATGTCGTCTCTCCAAAGAGATAATGATGACATATCTTCAGAGCAAATATAACTGCTGCTAACTCAAGATCATGAGTAGGATAGTTACATTCATGAGGCTTTAACTGCCTTGACGTGTATGCCACGACCTTGCCGTCTTGCATAAGTACACATCCCAAACCATTATGAGATGCATCACTAAAGATCGTGTACTCTACACCTGTTACTGGTTGTGTCAGTACAGGTGCTTCTGTCAGACATTTCTTTAGTTTCTCTAAGCTTTGCTAACATGCATCGGTCCATACGAATTTCACATCTTTTCTCAGAAGTTTGTTAAGTGGAGTTGCGATTGAGGAAAAGCGTTCAACGAATCGTCGATAGTATCTAGCTAATCCTAGAAAACTTCTCACTTCATGAACATTCCTCGGAACCTTCCATTCGGTGATGGCAGATATTTTACTAGGGTCAACTTTAACACCTTCTTTAGAAATCACATGTCCTAAAAACGTAACTTCATCAAGCCGGAATTCACACTTTGACAGTTTGGGATACAGTTTATGTTCCCGTAGTACGCTCAGTACTATCTCCAAATGTTTGGCATGGTCTTCTCGATTTTTTAAGTATACAAGAATATCATCAATGAACACAAATACGAATTGATCAAGAGAGGGACGAAATACACTATTCATAAGATCCATGAATACTGCAAGAGCATTGGTCAAACCAAAGGGCATTGATGAGAATGCCACTGCCCGTCCCTTTTTCCCCTTGGGAGGATATCAGCTTGGACTTCATCACCGGGCTGCCAAGAACACAAAGGGGCTAGGACTCAATTATGGTCGTCGTGGATAGGTTTTCCAAGATGGCCCACTTCATCCCGTGCGTGACCACTTATGACGCCTCTCAAATAGCGGATCTCTACTTCCGAGAAGTGGTCAAGCTACACGGAGTTCCACGAAGCATGGTGTCGGATCGAGATCCTAAGTTTCTTAGTCATTCCTGGATGACTTTGTGGAGAAAGCTAGGGACAAAACTCAAGTTTAGCACGTCGAGCCATCCCCAAACGGATGGCCAAACATAAGCCACCAACCGTACTCTTGGGACACTTCTTCGAGTCTTAATCAAGAAAAACATTAATCAATGGGAAGAACTTTTACCTCATGCCGAGTTCGCGTACAACCGAACACCGAGCAAAACAACAGGGTTTTCACCATTCACCATTGTTTACGGTTCAAACCCTCTCACCCCGCTTGAGCTTGACCCTATCATGGGAAAAGGCCAATATAGCTGGGAAGCCGAGAAGAGATCTCAAAATATAAAGGACCTTCACACCAGAGTTCGCGAGAAGATAGAAGCCATGAATGAGAAAGTGAGCGAGCGCGCCAACAAAGGAAGAAGAGCGACAAGTTTCAAGCCAGGAGACTTAGTGTGGATTCATCTCCGAAAAGAGCGTTTTCCAACTAAAAGAAAGTCTAAACTGCTGCCAAGAGCCGATGGACCTTTCGAAGTTCTGGAAAAAATCAAAGAGAATGCCTACAAGATTAGTCTTCCCGGACACTATGGAGTTTCCGCTACCTTCAATGTGAAATATCTCAGTCCGTACTTTGACACAGAGAGTATGGAATCAAGCTAACACTTGCACCAAGATCACAAAGAGCTTAATTCACTTTAGATCCTCCGATGTAGCATGGAATTGAAAAGCTTCCAGGATCACGTAGTTTTGGTGTGATCTTATTTTGGATAATGGCACTGCACTCTCGACTCATGGCCACCGTGAGAGGATTTTCCTTCTTCTTTGTTAAGATCTCCTTAAGAAATTTGGCATATGAAGGAATTTTGGTGATGGCATCAAGCAAAGGAATAGAGATATCCAATTGCTTGATACGGTTCAAGAACTTGGTTCTTCGTTCCTCAATATGTGATTTCATGAGTCGGTTTGGAAAAGGAATTGGTGGAGCATATTTCCTTATCAAACCCTCATCTTCTTTCTTTTTCTTTCCTTCTTTGATCTGGATTGACTCCGGCAGCATTTCAACAGCACCTCCTTTGACTTTGTTTTGAGCTTCTTCTTTGACATCCTCTCCTCTTTCTTCTTCAGGATCACTACCCGGAAGAGATGGAGATTGAATTTGTTTCCCACTCTGAGTAGTGATAGCATTCATTTGCACTCTTGGATTCTTAGGACAAGCTGGCAATTTCCGAGTCACCTTTGTTGATGATGTTGATGCTTGACTAGATATTTGACTTTCAAGCATCCTATTGTGAGCTCGAAGTTGAGTAAGCTCTTCAGAAATCTTCTTCAAAGTTTCGGCTTGGGCTAGTTGAGATTTGAGTAGCTGGTCAACAATGTTATCCAAGCTGGGAGTTGATGTTGTTTCAGGAGTTGGTAGGATCGGCTTTTGTTGATTAGAAACATAGGGGAAGCTTTGGTTTTGCTTAAAATTTTGATTGTTAGCAAAACCTTGGCCACCTCTAAATTGTTGTTGCTGTTGATTTTGAAAGCCGGGTGGTGAACTCCGATAAGCTTGTGGATTGGCAGCTCCACTAGGATTGCTCCAAGAGAAACCAGGATGATTTCTGTTTTGAGAACTAAATCCACCAAATGGATTTTGTTGTTGTTGCGGCCGGTTGTAATTGACATAATCAACTTGCTCCATTGCATCCCATGGGCATGAAGATTGATCATGTTGTCCACCACAGGATACACACATGAGAACAAGAACAGGGGGCGGTGCTGGCATAGTGTTTTGCATAGCAGAGACTTGAGCAATCTTTTGGATCATGCTCATCATGTTATCGACCTTAGCAGCCATGGCCGACATTTGATCAACTTCGTACATGCCTCCAATTTTCGGTTGAGCGGATGGACGATCAGAGTACCAGGTGGATCCGTTTGTTGAGATCCGCTCAATGAGTTCTTCAGCTTCATCAAGTTCAAGGCTCATGAATGATCCACCCGCCGAGGCATCCAACAATATCCGTGAGTTTTCATTTAGGCCTTCATAGAAAGCCGTCATTAAGTGCCAGCTTTGGATATTGTGATGTGGGCATTGCCTTTGGAGATCTTTGAATCTTTCCCAAGCCTCGTAAAGCGGCTCGTTTGGATTTTGCTTGAAATTTTGTATCATTCGCCTGATTTTTGCTGTTTTGGAAGGCGGAAAGAATCGCTTGAGAAATTCTCCGTGAAGCTGGTCCCAAGTTGTGAAGTGATTGTCTGGAAATGAATCCAGCCAGCTTTGAGCTCTATCCCTTAGAGAGAATGGGAACAGACGGAGCCTGATTGCATCAGTTGGCACACCATTGATTTTGAACGTATTGCACGCTCGGAGGAATTTGGTGATATGGTTGTGTGGGTCCTCCGTTGGTCCTCCACCAAACTGATCAGATGAGACCATGTGGATGACAGCAGGTTTGATTTCAAAGTTGTTTGCTGTGACATCCGGTGGAATAATACTGTTGTGTTCCGCCACAGGAGGAGTGACATAGTCAGAAAGAGTCCTCCTGTTCGGAACTTCATTTTGTCTTCTCTGAATTTCCTGCACATTTTCAAGAACATCGTTCCGTGGGACTTCCATTTTCTTTATTTTTCTTATTTCTTTCAAATATTTTTCAATTTCTGGAAAGAAAAAGTTTTCTTGATTTTTCCCACGGGAACGCATTAGCATAAAAAGAAAGGGATTGGGGAGGGTTAGAGAGAGAGAGGGAGAAGGGAATAGAAGGAAAATAAAAGGGAAAAAAAATAAAAGGAAAAGAGAAGGGAAAGGGGGGGAAGGAAAAGAAAAAAAATGTAATGTACAATAATTAATAAAAAGGCTCTCACTTAGGTCAAGAGGTAAAAACCACCGAGACAAGTGATACCTTAGTTAGTAGTTAGCGGTTAGAGTGCCAAGTGGTAATAAACCAATGAGGACACTAAAAAAAATAAAAAGAGTTAGTAATAATATATTGATATATAATATGTAATATATATAATATATAATATATAATATATAATATCTATAATATATATAGTATATATAATATATAATATATAGTATATAGATATAATGTCCAATAGCGGCTTTGCACGCCTGGAAAGAAAGAAAAAAATGCAGAAATGTAAACTGCAGTAATTAAATGTACAAACCCTGTGACGGCTTTGCCGGTCAGCGGGCAAAATAAAGAAAGAAAAAAGTGTCCAATCACCGTTGGCGAAAAATCCGACCTGTGGGATAGTTCAATATGTCTAGGTATGTCCAATATGTCCAAGTTCAATAAGTGTCCAAGAGTAAAGGAACTTAAAGGAATTTTTTTTTTCAGTTTTGTTTTTTTTTGTTGAGGTTTTTTTTCTTGGTTTTTTTTGTTTTTTTTTTAAGTTTTGTTTTTTTTAGTTTTTTTTTGTTTTTTTAGTACCTGCAGGAAGAGGTTAGGGAAAACAAAATAATAACAAATATTTACAACAAATAAACAATAAAACTTATGTTTAAAATAAAAAAACTCAAACCGTCTCCCCGGCAACGGCGCCAAGTTGATTTGCAGTATAGAACGGGCAAAACTAACAACTAAAAAGAACCCTTGCAAGTAGGGTTTCGAACCTCAGGGAGACGTGAGTTAATTTAATTTTGACAAAAGTTTACAAAAGAAGTTGTAAAATATTTTTTTGGTCTTTTTGGTTTTAGAGATAAAATAAAAAGTGTAAAAAGAGAGAGTTCCAAACAACACAAAGTTTCTGATGATGAAAAGTTAGGGGTAAAAATTGGTAAATTAATTGTCCAATGTTTTTATAAAAGTTGGATTGTTAATTTATTTTTATATAGAGTGTGTGGGGTTGCAGAAAAGTATTTAGGGACGCTCTCGCAGTTCACCTAAATAATAACCACTCCGAATTTAACACGCTAATGATAAATCCGGAGTAATTATTTAATAACAACGGCAACCATAATTATTTTATTATATGTTTACCCAATTTAATGGTGTAAAAATACAACTCAATAATTATGTCCACCCGAAAGTCTTCAATCCTGGTTAAAGGTAGAGAAGGCTTACGGCGTAATTAAAAAGTGTTCTATTTTATGATTATTTCAATTTTAGCTCAAATTCCTTTTAACAATTATGTTTATGATTGGGACCTTAATTAAAAATCACAAACATTCCAAATTTATTTATTTTTAAATACAACATCTAAGTAAAAATAAAATCAACAATCCATGTTAAAAATATTTAAAACATTAAGATGGACAATTAATTACACCAACTTCTAACCCTAATGGAATTTAGAAGTTCATAGTTTGAAGCTTAAAAAAATAAATATTTATTACAAACATAAAAATCTTACAAAATGGAAGGTGTGTTCTTGAGCTCCAAATATAATAGATGATTGTTATACCCCTGGATGGTTCCACCAAAATCCCAACCCCTCCCAAATATCCAAAAGTATTTTATTTCCTTTTGATATCCAAAATAAAGTTTTTCCTACTCTTATTTTAGCCTAGGGCCAAAAATAAGAGTGTGTAAAATACAACCTTCTGTTTGTTGTTATTTTCCTTCTTTTAAACCTTTTAATAAACAAATAAAACCTTCTCTCCCTTCCTCTAAATCCCTAGCCAAATATCCCTCACAATCCCAACACAACATCAACAAAGAGCCAAAAACCATGACCCACAACCAGCCATATATCCTGCCCATATTCCCCTTACAATATCCCAAACCCATAAATCCAAAATCACATTATTCCCTTCCCCTTCCCCTTCACCCTTGGCCAAGAATCCCTGCCCACAATCCATGTCACAGCCCCCACAATTG